AAGGCGCCTTCAGCGCCAATATGACTAATTTTGAGGTGAGAGCGCGCGCAAAAACGCTATTATTTGGTCAAAATTTTCAAAAAGTGCCTAAAAACGTCTTTTGGCCTGTTTTTTTTTTGAAAAATTTCGGTCCTTATACTATTTTAAGAGAGCTCGGAAAATCAATTTGGTCGACCTATAAACTTGATAGTTTTGCGTACAAGTCGAGAGATAATTGTCTTAATTGGGGATATAATTGAGATAATTGTGCTCAATTATAGCTTACAAAAGGGTGGCGTCCCTCATGCTTGAAGGACCGAATGCTTGAAATTTATTTTAGCTTTCTTTCAACCAATCAGAATTGAGTATTCAAAATCTCATAGTAAATCGTGAAAATCTCAAAGTAAGAAAATAAATCTATGCCATTAGTGTTAATGGTGACCGATTAGATAACAAGCAGATAAGTTTTCAAGACTAAAAAATTCTTATGAACTTGAACTCATAAATCTTGATGTTTATCTGAATAGTATTGCGGTTGTAACCCGCCATTTGTAATATTTTTGATTATTTTCCACTGATTTAAAACATTTTCTGTTGATATTGACTTCGATTTTGTGAGAAGGCATTAAGCCAATAGGAACGCTCAGCGATTTTGATTGGTTGAAACTTTCCAAGCATTCGGTCCGTCATGCATGAGAGCCCTCCCCTTACAAAAGTATCACCTGTGTTATAAAACGAATCCACTTTTTCCTTTTTCCTGCCAAAGTGGCAGATTTCATTTCAGTTTTTGTCCAAAATTATGTTTTTGCATTAGCAGCACTTGTTTTATCAGCTTCGTTGATGCTCATTCCTTACTGCATGCTATTATAATAGCATATGAGATAGCATGTGTAAAAGTAGCAATTATTAGGTCTAAAGTTAAAGCTAGGTAGTGAGTTGGATCTTTCAAGTGTGCCAAATTATGTTTTCTTTCAATGCTTATTTGTATTTATTTTTTTTGCTTTTATTTACATTTTTGTTCTTTTTTGCGTCCATTAGCGAAGTGCAACTTTGTTTCTCTAAAAACAAAACTTTCGCTGCTCCATTTATCATTCACTCGACCAGATTTTTTCTCGAAAACAGCTGCTTATTATTGACACTACACGAAGAATTGAGGAGACCTTATATACGATTAAATAATTTACTTTCACTGGTTATCAGGAGTTCTTATGCAAAGCACTTATGTGAACAAAAAACCTTGTAGTAATCACTCAGAATGAAGTTTTGAACCCAAAAACATTTTCAGATTGCGGAAAGCAAAAAAGTTCTCTAAATTAGGTCCGTACTCCTATCAACCATTTCTGTGCGTCAGAGAAAAAAAGATGGAGGATTTAATGAATCGTCTAGACAATTAAATTACCACGGCTGTTCGTCTTTTACGGGATTTGAGTTTCATCCGCGTCATATCTGTTAATATGAAGCTGAACTAACTATTGAAAGATGCTCATGAAAGTACCCGTTTTTAGATATGAAGCTGAACTGACTTTTTCGTAGAGAGGATTTTGGATTTACCGTACAAGCATGTATTAAATCTGAAAATTGATTCTGTATGAAGTATGCATTTCATAAAATCGCGGCGCATATACAATTGGTTTCGGACCAAGTTAACATCCTCCCCTACCCCCCCGCCAATCGCGCCACAAAGCCGTTTTTTTTGGGAGGGGGGATGGATTTCAACTTGGTTCTAAGTTAGAAATTTTCAGCCAATCAGAATCGAGCATTTTACATGCAGCCAGTAGCGTGGCGTGCTGCCAAATTTTTCCAAGGGTCCCTCTTTGGTATAACTTAATGACATCCATTTTTCGGTGAACAACCTCAAATTTTTTCTAAAGGCGCCTTCAGCGCCAATATGACTAATTTTGAGGTGAGAGCGCGCGCAAAAACGCTATTATTTGGTCAAAATTTTCAAAAAGTGCCTAAAAACGTCTTTTGGCCTGTTTTTTTTGAAAAATTTCGGTCCTTATACTATTTTAAGAGAGCTCGGAAAATCAATTTGGTCGACCTATAAAGTTGATAGTTTTGCGTACAAGTCGAGAGATAATTGTCTTAATTGGGGATATAATTGAGATAATTGTGCTCAATTCTAGCTTACAAAAGGGTGGCGTCCCTCATGCTTGAAGACCCGAATGCTTGAAATTTATTTTAGCTTTCTTTCAACCAATCAGAATTGAGTATTCAAAATCTCATAGTAAATCGTGAAAATCTCAAAGTAAGAAAATAAATCTATGCCATTAGTGTTAATGGTGACCGATTAGATAACAAGCAGATAAATTTTCAAGACTAAAAAATTCTTATGAACTTGAACTCATAAATCTTGATGTTTATCTGAATAGTATTGCGGTTGTAACCCGCCATTTGTAATATTTTTGATTATTTTCCACTGATTTAAAACATTTTCTGTTGATATTGACTTCGATTTTGTGAGAAGGCATTAAGCCAATAGGAACGCTCAGCGATTTTGATTGGTTGAAACTTTCCAAGCATTCGGTCCGTCATGCATGAGAGCCCTCCCCTTACAAAAGCATCACCTGTGTTATAAAACGAATCCACTTTTTCCTGCCAAAGTGGCAGATTTCATTTCAGTTTTTGTCCAAATTTATGTTATTGCATTAGCAGCACTAGTTTTATCAGCTTCTTTGATGCTCATTCCTTACTGCATGCTATAATAATAGTAAATGAGATAGCATGTGTAAAAGTAGCAATTATTAGGTCTAAAGTTAAAGCTAGGTAGTGAGTGTGATCTTTCAAGTGTGCCAAATTATGTTTTCTTTCAATGCTTATTTGTATTTATTTTTTTTTGCTTTTATTTACATTTTTGTTCTTTTTAGCGTTCATTAGCCAACTTTGTTTTAGCGTTCAAGTCCAACTTTGTTTCTCTAAAAACAAAACTTTCGCTACTCAATTTATCATTCACTCGACCAGATTTTTTTCTCGAAAACAGCTGCTTATTATTGACACTACACGAAGAATTGAGGAGACCTTTATATACGAATTAAATAATTTATTTTCACTGGTTATCAGGAGTTCTTATGCAAAGCACTTATGTGAAAAAGATTGTAGTAATCAGTCAGAATGAAGTTTTGAACCCAAAAACATTTTCAGATTGCGGAAAGCAAAAAAGTTCTCTAAATTAGGTCCGTACTCCTATCAACCATTTCTGTGCGTCAGAGAAAAAAAGATGGAGGATTTAATGAATCGTCTAGACAAGTAAATTACCACGGCTCTTCGTCTTTTACGGGATTTAAGTTTCATCCGCGTAATCTGTTAATAGGAAGCTGAACTAACTGTTGAAAGTATGCTCATGAAAGTACCAGTTGTTTGATAAGAAGCTAAACTGACTTTTTCGTAGAGAGGATTTTGGATTAACCGTACAAGCATGTATCAAATCTGAAAATTGATTGATTCTGTATAAAATGTGCATCATTTCATAAAATCGCGCATATACAAGTGGTTTTGGACCAAGTTAACATCCTCCCCCCCCCCCCCCCCCTCCCACACACACACACACACAAAGCAGTTTGGGGGGGATTTTAACTTGGTTATAAATTAGAAAATTTCAGTCAATCAGAATCGAGCATTTTACATGCAGCCAGTAGCGCGCCGAAGGGGGCGACTCCCCCCCCCCCCCCCCCCTCAATTCGGGGGCAAAATTTTCCAAAGGGTCTCCCTTTGGTTTAACTTTATGACAGCAATTTTTCTGTGAACAACCTCAAAGTTTTTCTAAAGGCGCCTTCAGCGCCAATATCACTAATTTTGAGGTGGGGGCGCGCGCAAAAAAAATGCCATTTTTGGTCAAAATGTTCCACAAAGTTCCTAAAAACGCCTTTTTGAAAAACTTTGGTCCTTATACTACTGTAGGAAGCTCGGAAAATCAAATTGGTCTACCTAAAAAAAGTCGACAAAATTTTCAAAGTTTTTTTCAGAAACCGCACCCCCCCCCCCTCCCTAGCAAAATTTCTGCGCACGCCACTGCATGCAGCGCTTAGCAAATTTAATGCGAATTAAATGCTGGGGTGGATGATCTTAACTTGGTCTATCTGGGGGGAGATGTTAACTTGATCTTTGGTTTCTACATTTTTGTATGCGGGATCGCGTTTGTATTGCTGGTAATTGCTTAGATTGCTGTTTCATTTCAATTTTTTTTAGTGAAAAGCTTACTTTTGAATGATTATAGGCTTTTCTCAAAGTAAGTTCATCAAAAATCCATATTTTCTCCCCCCTAATTTAATTTGGGGGAGTTTTACGGTTGATCCAGGATTTTATAACGAGCTCACTGGTTTCTTTTTTGTTTTCTTTTTTAGAATTAGAATGACTAGTTATGAAACTATTTTCAAAATGATCCACAAAAAGCCAAATGATTGTTATGATCAAGTTCATTGTTAATTAGCGAAGCTATGTTTCGAAGTTTTGCTATTTGCTGTTCTTGTTAGATATCAGTTTCAACTAGATTCGTAGTCCCGATGAAAACAATACGTTGATGGCTAGAAGTTATTTGATCAGATGTTGGAGCAAATTTGGGTAGATTAGAAGAAATCGATACCATAAAGCGTCCCACTAATCTAAAAGGGGAGAAGAATGTCGAAAATCTGCGATTGTTTGGTAACAGTTTCAATGCACATTTCCACCCAGACAAAGTGTGTTTGCAGTTAGTAGATTAAATCGGTCGTGAAATATCTCTCCATTGCGGGGGTAAAAATTTCCTCCTTTTGCCATTGTAAAAATTTGATGCGAAATATTTCTGTTATCTTCCTCCAGCTTTCAATACCATTTTATGGTTTGATTATGCTACTTATTCTGATAGCGCCGTTCTAATGTAGGCGAAAACAATGATTTCCTACTCTAAATCAGATACGTACAAGTGTTTGTGTTACGTCTGCTCCAATAAACGCTCTGCTCAGGGTTTTCAATTCATTTTTGCGATGTTCATTTTGTTTTTCACTTATGGATAGAAATTGAATTTACCTGATATTTTTCCTCATTGAGACTTGCAATCAATTTTTTCCATTACAGTCGACGTCGCTTCTAAGTTTTCTTTCCGCATTAAACAAAGGATAGTTGCTTAAACATTCAAAAAGAAACTGTTAGTTTTTATGGCAGTAATTTCTAGTCCATTCAAACGGCCACGTGCAAATATTTTCAGGGGAGGGCAAAAGTGGGCCGAAAGTGAGTTGGTTAACTGCTGCCATTCAGTAAGCATCACCCTTCTTGTTTCCAGCTATATACCCCAGCTAGTATTGCTGCCGTGCATTTGTCTTTGTTGCGCAATCGACCCCGTTAAATAAAATTTACCCCTGCTTTTCATTTCACCTGTACCTGCACCGAATCGACCCAGTTTTTCTAATATCTTTTGCAAGTGTGTGTTAAGTATGGCCGCCGATTCCCTAAGTGCCCGTCTAAATGTGCGCCATTGTTACGATTGAAACCAAAATATTGAAAATTACCGCGGCGTCGTTGGTTGCTATCTGGAGAAAAAAGCAGACACCGGTTGTTCATTTTATTTTTCAAGTAGCCCTAACTGATTTGACGAGATTTTTCCTTCCTTTGACGTTGATACAAATAAGCAAACTTCCATAGTATTTGAAGCGACAGAATCAAAGGAGTTGCGAGTATACATTGCCTGTGCTTTTGAAAGATTACTTAGCGGTAGCATTTTTTCTCAAGCTCTGTTCAAATTCTTACCACGTTTTCCGATTTTTCTGTTGCGAGTAAAGATTGATTTTGGTCCATTACTAGGAAATTATTTAAAATTTTGAGTAAAAGCTCTGCTTACAAAAGTTTACTTAATTCTTGTGTTTGAGCGAAAACTAAAGAAGCCCGGGGCTCAATTGATTTCAACGTATACAAACGTAGCACACTTGGTATTTGTGATTTAAAAGTTCTCTCTTTTTATTTTCAGTTAGAAATGTTTGTATTCATTAACCTTCAAGCTGCTACTTAACTCATAGCCCATGACATTTGTGTATATTTAGATTTTACTTTTTTTTATTTTGCATCGAGGAAAATAATCAATTTTCTCTTAAATTTTGTTACTGATGTACAAAAACAGAACTCATGGACATTCAATTCAAAATATGGCTAATGAAAGACAGGTTAGGTTTGAGCTTTACGACGTGAAATGATTTATTACTGCGTGCTAACTACTAACGAAAGCAATATGTAAAGATTGTAAACAGACAATGCCCTCAATTGAACAGGAAACAATGTCAGTAAACAAAACTCACTCAGCGAGAGTTCACCATAATGGTAACAGTTGTGCTCTTCCTTTTTCATCGACCACTCAAACATCCACAGGATCATTAAGAAGCAACGTGACCAAAGCGCCTCTGCCGCACGCAGACTCGAACCCTAGACGCCTTCCTAAGCGAACTGCTTCACTCAGTAGACAGAGGTCACTGACCGAAATAGCTGCAGAAACAGCTGCTACAGTCATTGGGCCAGAGCAAGCTGCAGTGCTGAACAACTCAAGCAGTCAGGCGGTCGAATTTCTGAGCGGCAAGCTATCAAACGCTCTCTCGTTTTTAACCTCAAACGTACCAAGTCAAGTTCCCAAACATCAAATTGGAAATGCCCGCGGCTCGTTTTCAAGCAGTAACCCGAACTTAGCATTTACCGAAATTTCTCCGTCGCCTTTTCACAGAACACTGACTAAAATGACCTCCAATCGCATATCAGATCCTGAAAGAGAATCTTCCAAAATTGAGCTTGAATTCCAAAGAGATTCTTTCGCAGATTTCAAAGGTCGTTCGCTGATAGATCAGTGCATGTCGCCATACCCTCTAAGTAACACAGATAACGGCGCTGAAAACGATGAAAATATTTACGAGAACAAAGAAAAGCTATCTGAAAATCCTCAATCGAATTCCTCGATTGAAGCTGCCTTAATGAACGGATGCTCAATCGAAGCATCAATACCGAACAGTTCAGTCGACTCGGACTCAATGGTACGTAAAAAGATCTCCTTCGTTCTCTTTGACAAATCACAGTTGAGTAACAATATAGCACAATTAAATCATTGTTTTTATTGTCTCTTGTGAAAGTTTTAAAAAATAAAAATTCAAAACAAACATCATCATAGATGTAAATAGAACCATCCAATTGATTGAATTCAGTGTTCCTGCTGATTTTTTGGTCCCTTAACGTCGCTTATAGCAATTTTTTATGCATTTTTTAGTTTTTGTGAAGGATTCATGAAAAATTTAGTTAAATTGTTTCATTTTTTGTCAATGAACGCAGTAAAGAGAATTTTTGTAGTTTTTTAGGAAAAATTTAATTAAGTGTTCAGGTTAAAGTTTGATTTTCGCGGTTTGATTTGCTTAGTTCAATTCAAAATGTGCAAATGGCGCTAAAAATATGAATGATATAGTTTTGAAGGTGGATTTTAGTTTAAAGATATCCAAGAGGAATAAAAAATATCTATTGTTTTATGAAAAAAAAAATTTCAAAGATTAATTATTTGAACTCATTGACAGTTTTCCAACTGTCTATTGGCAGCTTTTGATATTATTGGCCTCATTGATTGAAACAATTTAAGGTTCCCAACAACCCGTACCTATAATTAAAATTTTCAAATTGGCAAACTGTCAAATCATTGCTATGAATGCTTTTTTTACAAAGTTTTAGCTGATGTCTAAAATATCTTTTATTTCGATTTTCACCACTCTTGTAGTGCTTTAAAATAACTGTCTACGCATTAAACCCTTTTCAACGCCAGCAATTTTGAGTATCCAATACTTACTCGATTTAGTGCATTTTTGAGGTGACTATGATTAAATTGCTTCTCAAATTTGCATGTTTTGATATAGAAATCGAACAATGTGGATCATTTTGGGAAGCCGAATGGCCAGCAGTCACATCATAGGATGTCAGAATCTAAAAGGAATTCAACGATTGAGTTGAAGAGCGAGAATGAGCTGCTGAGAAGAGAGGTAGAGCGACAGAAGAATCAGATATCTACACTAGAAGCGACCCTTTGTGAACTGCAGAGCAAGAATGCTAAGTTGGAAGAGATTGTAGTGGCCCTGCAGAGATCTGCAGTGAATCATAATGGTGAGTCCATTTTTTATTCGCCCAACATATCCACAAAAATCAAATGAAATGGTTTGAACTTAATATCTTTGAAGCTTTTTTTCGAATGATCGTTTTGTCCCCGCATTTTGAACCAATAATTTCAATTATCTCAATGCTTCTTTTTTTTGGTCGAAAATGATAGGGCAAGGAAGGGCTAACAACAGCAGATAGGTCCGTTTTATATTGATATGATAGCATCCGTTATTATGTTTCTATTTATTGCATCACGTTTCAGTATGGTATCAGCTGTCATGCCCGATATATAGCTCATTTTCTGGTTTCATATATCGAAAATATTTTTCGGGATCGTCCCCACGTACATGCTATGCATAGAAACTCGATTGGTCTCAATTTGCTACGGTTTGTTCATGGGCTCAATATCTGTCGTAACTTTCAATTTTTAGGTTTGACGTAGGAGCTTGCAAGATATAAGTTTGAATAAACTATGTGCAGGTTAAGATTTGCAAACTATTAAAGATGTTGACTATTAGGTGACAATCAGAGCGAACAATCACTTCCAATTTCAACACCCAGCAATGAAGCCAATGAAGACAACGTTCTAAGCAACTCATCAGAATTCCCGAACAAAAATAACTCTCCACTTAGTGTCAGTATTGGGAGCAATAACTCCGGCAACAAACAGCCACCAAAATTGTCTCCAAATGGCAGGACAGGGTATCACCACCAAAAGTCTTTCTCAGACGTCCAGTTCTACTACCCAGCGTCAGCCCAAGTGGCCGCAGTGTCGCACCCAGCCCGAATTCCTAGTGAGAGCGAAGAAAACTACGAGGCTATATCCCACGAGTATTCTTCGATTACTCACTTTGATAATTCCACAAATGCATCTGAGGCGATCGGAAGAAACCCAATTGCCAATGTGTTCCCAAGAACGCCGGATGCTAATAGTAGACAGGCAATGCGATTCGGGGGTTCATCGTCTAAGATTACGAGGACAGGGTCTTACAGTGAGAAGCGCCATTTTACCGTCAACCCAAGTGGCAGTCCAATGGGAACTTCGTTAGACTGTGAGGAGAATCAATACAACAGTGTTCCAGATCTCCTTGAGAAAAGCTCGCTCGGCGACAGTCTGCTTTCAACAAATGCGCCGATGTCCAAAACCGAATCAAAAATGACCTCGCGAAACATGGTGCGAATGTTGAACAATGCAAGAAACAACGGAGGAAGTGATGGATTTAGCAGTGATGCGAATCCTAGCTTGAGCGATAATTCTCCCATTGAGTTTGGAGACTCCCCTAGGCCAGAACAGTTTATGCGAGGAGGTGCAACTAGAAGCACGGCTGGACCGCGCATGATGCTGAACCCGCGGGGTCAAATGACAAGTCCCATGTCACCGCTGGCTAACGGAGGATCGGATGTGCCATTCAAAAATTGGGACTCGGAAAAGATTGGATTCTGGATGGCAAAAATGGGACTGGGAAAATACGCGTCATATATTAACTCTCACCGGGTAATTTCATATCGATCAGCCTCATTTTTTATAGCAAGCTCCAGTACGATTTATTAATGTTTTGAATTGATTAATTAGTTCTCTGAAAATAACAAAATGAAAGTGGCCGAATAGAATTTTTCTTTTTTTCATTCAATTGTTTGCAAGGTAACGGGTGAGAAGTTGGCGAAGATGACGCCCAATGAGATTGAAAAGAATCTTCGAGTGAAAAACAGTCTGCACAGAAAAAAACTTCTTCTTGCTGTCCGAGCTCAACTCGTTGGTAAGTTAAGAACGTTTCAGCGAAATTTTTGTGAAGCAGCGAGATATGATTAGTTTTTTTGCTGCTTAATAGATGCTTTAAAAAGAGAAAGAGCGAATTTATTGCTCCATATATAGTACAGAAAAAAATTACGTAAAAATTATTCAGCAAAACTTTTACCTAATTTAGACACTAGAACAATGCAGAGGATAGGCGAAAATACCCATTGAGAGCCTATTCTTTAAATGTTATATAATTCCAAGAATTGAACTGGTTTTATTATTTTTGTGACCAATTAGGGTATTGCAAATGGGTTCTATACTTTTATTCCTGCGAATAACTTTGTTCACAGGACTCATCTCCTGGAGCGTGAACGCAGTCATATGCTCCTTTTATTATACATTCAATTTCAATTAACAATTAGGCGCATATGGCGTAGAGGTAAAACATCTGTTTCGTACCGCAAAAGATTGTGGTTCGAATCAGGCTGGGACATTTTGTTTTGGCAAATTTGAGTTTTTAGGCTTTTTCGGACTATCGTCCGTCTGTTAATTTTTGTCGGCTTAGCTCATGTAGCCCGAGTTTGTTGTGTAGGCTCCGCTATTTTTACACTAGTGATCAGCCTAGTGTATTACAATGAACCTTCTTTTTTCTAACCTAACTCGCAAATTAAAGTGTTCATTGAAAGTGTTGACTTATATGGAAATTCCGCTGTGTCATTGGAAATTGCATAGCATCTGTTCTGTTTTATTTGTGGCTTGTGTTTATCAGCAATTAAGCGTCCGTGGCTGACTAGTTTGTGCGTGAAATTCATAAGCTCTAGGTCAAAGTAAGTCGTAGGTTCGAATCCGAGACGTACCCGAACTTTTTTTTTACTAATTCGAGGCTTAATTCTACTTTTTCTTACTGCTTTTCTATAGAGCTGTTTTTGTCGTTTTCTGGCTAGAGTTTGGAAAGCACAGCTTCGTCTCTGTATCGAAGTTGTTGTAACACCCATGCTTGACGACAAAGCCCTGGAGTTCGGTTCCACTCGGTACTTTATTCGGCTTTTATTTGCAAACTGGAAATTTTCGGCTAATTTAGATTTTTGTGTTTGCTTATTTTTACCGGCTTAGTTTCCGCAGAAAGGATTTTTGAAAGTTCAGCTCCTTTCGAGCATTCCGAAAGGTCATTGTAAAGTTTTATATAATGCAGGGTTTTTTCACGACCTTTTGGGATGTTGTTTATTTTTTTTTTGTAATTTTATAAATTTTTATGACAAAAACGATTTTTCAACGTTTTTTTTTCAATTTTGATTTTATTTTTCATTTGATTTTAATCGCAGTAGTTCATTTTTATAGCACAACTGGCGCAAAGCTCAGCTTCGGCTCTTTGTAAATTATGTAAAGACGAATGTTTCGGAGTCAATTCCAAACCCAGAGACCAGATAGCTCCCCAACAACAAGTCTTTTAACTGAAAAAAATATCGTAAAAACAGGTTTTTCTCGATAACTAGATTTTTTTAGTGGAGCTTTTTGTTCAGCTGAATTTCTTTTTTCCTGATGATTGTTGCCTGTAAGTCTTCTCGGTGTTGTTCAGTGATTACCGATCGAGCATATTTAAATAGGGCGGTAATTTAACGTATCCATAACTTGTAATTGTTTTCATTTTTTTAAAATGTGTTATGATGGTGGTTAACTTAATGTAATAGGTTTTCTCGCCTTCAACCTTTTCGAATAGCCAGGAATGAAATTCCGTTTTTCATTTATTCAAAGATGCCGGCTGCTTGAAAAGAGTAAGATGAAGCTTTGACTTAACTTTGAACTCAATTTTTTTTTAAATATAAATAATTGGTCTGCTATAATTGTGCTGTGTTTTTTAGGGAAATGAACTTCTTGTGATGGGAAGTTTGTTTGTTTCAGGCAACTGGAATGACTTTGTCGACATGTCTACCCAGTGGGTGGCCAGATGGCTGGATGACATTGGGCTGCCTCAATACAAGGACTCATTCGTCGAGGCTTGCGTGGACGGAAGGGTGCTTCACTACTTCACTTTCGAAGACTTCGCTCACGTCAAGGTCTTCTCAGCGATTCACCAGATTGGAATTGGTCAGTTTCATTCACAATCATGAAGATGACTGTTTCATACGTATTTGCAAAAATAAGGAAGAAATCTTATATAGATCGTGATGATTTTTTCCGTTTATTTATTTTTTTTCAGGAAACGCCTTAAAATTTGTTCAGGCCCAAATTTACTTTTTCGCAGTTTGACTTTTGATTTTTTTTTTCAAGTTCAGTTCATTTTCTTTGTTAAAAGGGAGGCAAATTACACCAGCGAAAGTGTAAAGGTCACGAAAAATGCTATCGAATTCTAGTTTCGAAAGTGGATTTTAATGTCCAGACTTCCCAGTGGAATTAAAAATTTACCTATTGATCCATTTTTCACAAAATGGATTCAGGCCGTAATTTTTGTCCTGATTACTTGCGTTCATTGACTCTTTTCCAACTGTCTGTAGGCTATGTTTTTTCCACCATGACCAATGGGGTTAGATCAGTGGCAAGTTCTCAAATATATTTTCAAGTGAATTGGCAGACATAGAGCTGTAATGAGCCATAAACTCGTGCAACCTGGTTTTTTAGTGACAATATGTTTGAGCTGTTTTTACAGGTCGTGCTATCCAGTACCTTCGTATCCAGGGTTGGGTCACGGACACTTTTATAAGGAGATCCTCTCATCCGGGCGAGGGAGGTACCTCCCTATTGCACTGGTCCAACCACCGTGTGATGGAATGGTTGCGATCTATCGACCTCAGTGAATATGCGCCCAATTTGAGGGGAAGTGGGGTTCACGGAGCACTCATGTGTTTAGGTGAGATGTGTTGAAAACTAATTAAATGTATTAAAAATTAAAAATTATCCTGAATGATTTTTGGGGAACTAACAAGATGACTCATTAACTTCCTGCTGATAGTTTCTCATTGGTGCAGTTATCGCACAAGCGAGCTTGGTGTAATAGTACGACTTTTCTTTTTTGTGGCACCTTTACGGCTTTTTGATAGCATGTGCTTTGACATTCGGTTATCAATAAGTTGAGACGTTGATACATTTTTAATCCATCAAATGAACCGGAAAGAGCTATTTGTTTCAAACAGCAGTATTTGTTTCAAAAAGCTATTTGTTTCAAACTCAACGCTGTACCGGAAATTTTAGGCATGTTTTGGGCATTTTTGCGTTTTAAATTCGCGTTCTAATGAATATTTGTTTTAAATATTGTTTGTAAATGTCTACCCAAGTTTTGTCGCCTTCGCTTTTATTTCGTAAATTTTGTTTCACTGCTTTTTTTATGCTAGCAGTTGTCACTTTGATATTTACTTTAGCCAACTAGCGAGAACTGTGTTTTTATTACGAATACTTCCCCCCCCCCCAATCCCCAATCCAACTTGAGTAAATGGTGCTCCTTATCGTGGCACTTTTGCAGCTTAGCATGAGCAATAATTTTGGCAATAGATGCCAGCAGGTGGTACTCTGAATCTGCAGATTGCGGGTTTGATTCCGGCACGTGGAATTTTTTTCAAGGCTTATTTTTGACTTTCCTTTTTTTCACTTCTTAATGCTATTTTTTGGCGTTTTGTTGCTTGTGTTTGTGAAGTGCAACTTCGCCTCTGTGTGCAACTTTTTGTCCTCACGTACTGTTTAATTTTCGTTTTTATCATATAGGATTCGAGTACGTTTGAGCTGTTGTTTGAGATAAGTGTGAAAGTGAAGAACTATACACCATATTACCATATTAAATTGTCAATTGGCCAGTCTTATAATACGAATCTATTTTATATAAAACTGTTCTGCGGGAAATTCGTGGGTTCTTCAGTTTTCATGGGCTCTATTTCTGCCATTCATGGAATGCTAATTTCTGATTGTTATTTGTAAAAAGTTAAAAGTTATTTGTATTCCAGAGCCAAGATTTACAGCTGACACTCTGGCAGACCTTCTCCACATTCCAGTGAGCAAGACACTTTTGAGAAGACACCTCATCCATCACTTCGACGTCCTCATAGGACCGAACTGCAAGGAACACAAGAGACTGATTGAGAGCTCTCCTTACTACCAACCGCTCAACATTCACTACAAGGTCAACCATACAATTGACACTGATTGTTCTAACATGATACGATTTGGCTTAGATAGATTGAAATTACATGAATGAAAAAAAAAAAATCATATTCCGCGCGATGTAATATATTTTACAGAAATTTTCTGGGTCGCTCGTTACATTAAGCCTTGTAATAAAGATGGGCAAATGGTTTTCCCCTCATTGGTATTGATATATTTTGATGAATGATAAGTTTCCTGTTCAGAAACGGTTCGTTTTTTTTTCTTTGATGTTACCTTCTTGTATCGGTGATTAAGTGTACTCAAGTGTATCATAATGTCAATATTTGGGGAATTTTTTATATGGAGTCAGGAAAAGACCGATGAATGAAGACAAATGATGATGAAAATTAACTGCTTCGCCTGTGTGATTCAAAATCTGGGCAGCTACATGTAGATATAGAGCTGACTTGTCTGTGCCATTTGATAAGTATAGTTTTCTATAATGGCATGTCGTTAATTATTCACAGGTGAAGCCGAACAAGACCAGATTCAAAATACCTCTGACAACTTCATCGAGCAAGTCTCAGAACAAATCGACAGTTACAGTAGGCAGCGTGGATGACCTAGTGTGTCCTTTGGAATTCGAAGTACCCTCGCACATTCCCAGTGAAGTTCTTCCTTTCGGATATGTAATTACTAGCCGAGACTTCTCGCGCTCCTCCCCGCAGATGATTCCGACGCCATCCAGCGAGTTAAACTGAGCATCGAAGGCGAAGAAGACGCTATTCAAAATAGATACTTGTGCTTGATTTTGTTTCTGCGCTGATTAGCTTTGTTAAAAATGCAGCTGATCTGGAAATGTTAAAAAATAGTTACTGTCAACTCAATTTCCACAATCAATTCTCTGCCAGGGACGGTATTCGTTGTCCTTGCCGCCGAAAAAATCATCCCCCAGTTTTTGTACAGTCTTTAAAACATCTACTTATGCCAATCATGTTCTATTTTTTATTGATTTTTTTCCCAACAGTATGTGCTAATTTGGAAGAGGTAGAGTGTACCGAAAAACTGCTTAGAGAGCCTACAAGACGCATCGAGGAGGAAATGCGCAAACCCAAAACTACTCCACAAAATGAATCGCTAACCAAATTTGGGTTTAAAGTTGATGTTTACTCGAAAGTTCACCAAAGTTGCTTTTAAACTCTTAAAAAACTTTTAAAAAGTTGGCGTTCAATCTTTGATTGGTGTTCCAACGAAAGGCAGCACGCAAAACAACAAAACGTTGGAGTTGAGCTAAAATAATCAGAAAGGTAAAATGGAAGTTTAGTTGCTAAATAAACCCCCAAATTGCTTTAAAACTTGGGGGGTATTTTCAAAAAAATTCACAAATTTGTCAACCTGTTTTTATCAAAATTTTCTGCGCCACAGTCAAAATTTAAAAAAACAGTCCAAAAAAGCGTTTGGGCTTTTTTTGGAAAATTTTGACCAAAAAAAATTGCGTTTTTTGGCGCTCGTTTCCCACTCAAAATTGGTGAACATTGGCGCCGAAGGCCCCTTAAAAAAGTTTTAGGCTGCCTCAGCCAAAAAGGGTTATCTCAAAATAATACGAAGGGGTACCTACGAAGTGCAAAACCAAGAAGAGAAAGTCATTGATTATCTTAGCAGTGATGCTAATAGGACATTATAGAATCGCCTATGATTGTCCAATCACAGTAATATTAGCTAAGGTTTTTTTGCAACCGGTTTTTGTTCTGTCCTCAGACAGTTTATCTATCTTTATTTTCTAATCTATCGCTCTAGTTTCGTTGGGCTTCTTTATTCCTCTCTCTCTCTCTCTCTTCGCCGTTTTTTTACACAAGCAATACTTGTGTTATAGTATGAACTAACTTTTTTTCCAACCTAAGTAGCGAAATTTGTCACTTTAAGTACAGCCAATGCTAAGGATTTTAACACATACTATTATTGTTCCGGCTTTCGTAACGAAAGTAACGGAATATTTAAGCTCGGGATAGTTTTTTTTCTTCAGACAAATTTTGACTTTTTAACTAGCCATTTTTGAGGGGATTTTTTGTATGGCTCAAAAAATATTGTTGTCCTGAGCTTAAATTGGGACAGATATTACACTTGTGATCATTTTTCGTAAAGTTATGGGGGTATAAAAATTGCCATTTTGGCCAATTTGGGTCAATTAACGGGCGATATATTTCGCGCTATGAAGGCGTAAGCGGAGATTTAATAGGTCATAGAAATCATTCCAAATTGGTTGAAGGAAGCTAAGTTGCCATAATTGTTTTGTTAATAGGAGCGAAATTTATCACTTTACTCAAAAATCAGATTTCACAAAAAAATCGCAAATAAAAAAAAATCGTTTCATTTTTATTTTAATTAATTTCTTCATGTTATTTTTTCAAATTGATTGTGTCGTATCACAATATAATTCTCTGACATCTCTGAAGGTTGCTCTGAATTTTAATGAGCATAGCTATTTTAGAATGTTGCTTTCCAAATGACGAGGAAAGTTCTGTACCCGAGAGATATCGGATGTCGTTTGTTTGCAGGACGGTATTCCTCTAGAAGCCTCAGAGAACAAAGAAAGAAGTTTCGGCAGAGGCTTTTAGTTTTAGTATGTCTGGTCACTCTCGCTGATATCTCACGAGTGATTTTTCAATTTATAAACTAAGAGTTTATGTTTTTGTTTACTCTTCAAATTTGTTTATTTAACAAAGTTATCAGTAAAGATCGGTCTTTCTGTTTTCATCACCAAGCCTTTTTCGGAATTTATTATTTGAGTTCAAATGTTTTCTTCCTGTTTCTTTCTTAATGATGTTTGCTGGCCCCATCTTTCACATCTTCCTGTTGTATCACAGAAATTATAGTCCGTGGCCGTAAACACCAAATAGGGCCTTGAAGTAGTTTGGTTAGGTCAAATAATAAATCGCAGCCTTGAATGGAGTTAAGGGATGTCACAATACTGTCCTTGAAAAAGTTACCACAGGTTCGAAAATTGACCGCACTCTGCTGTTTTGTAGAAAGTGTAGGTTTACATTTTTGATGTCCTCTATTTCCACACACAGTCCGTTGGGCAGATTATATATGTTTACAAATATACGGCACATGAATAAATACATTTGTCAAGAATGTGTTAAGGTTATAGAAATAATTTTCTTTAAAGTGATAATATTCTTTATAGTGGTACCTTGAAGGGTGTTGAAAGGTGTTTTACTTAAGCTGTAATAAACGTCCTAATGTTCTTTCAGTGGTACTTTTATTCATTCATGGAATGAAGTCCTGGTTGTGAGCTAGAAACATCCCGGTTGATGTATGATGTATATGAGGTGAAAGCGTGAGCTCTCACTTTTTTGAGTTCCATTGCCATCTCTAATTTTATTCGATTCGCGTGTTCTTTCACGTCGTTCAGTGTTTCTTGAAATGGAGCTGTGGTTTCCACTGAATCGAGAGTCAGTCTGTCATCAAAAATTCTTGCTACGAAGGTCGAAGTTTTCTCAGATTCAGCGCTATTGGTTTTGCTTTTTTCCTCATCTGTTCTCGATTTTGAAAATTAGGGATTTCGAGTAGCTTTTTCATTACTTCCTTGAATAATTCGGTTCCCTCTTCCGTTTTTGAGTCGTAGTATGGCCTGTCCTCCAATTTTGGCATTTCGTTTAGCAACTTTGAGATGGGGTCCCGCAATTAGGCATGGATCTTGATTGCTGGGAGCTGTTGGCATGTTGCTGAATCAGATATAATTTTTATGTTAGGCCCTACTAACTGTCTTCCAGATTCCAGTGTTACAATGCAGATATGGCATCCCGGGAGTTTTTCTATTCCACTGGTGGTTGTTGATTCTATATCGGACTCAAAGAGGGTGTATGCAGAGGTTGCTGATGTGATCAGCCAAACCCGAATCCTTGATTTTCAGCTTTTTCAGTAGATGGTTAATGAATCTGTTCGGTGTCTCATACTTTCAGTGTGTCCAGATTTCCTTTGAAGAATAGTTGCCAGGCACGATCCGTGTCCTGTCTCAGTAGGGATCATATCGTTGCAAATCTCTAATCTGATATCTTCAAGATCCAAGGCAGTGTTTCAAGTTGTACTCCGTTGATACTGCAGTTTCCATATTGTCCTCTGATTTTGCCAAGTAGGGATCTTCCGTTTTTCACATAATCGCTTTATCCTTCTCGTACTGTGGCATCGGTACTCGACTTGCATGGAAGACGGTAAATGAAGTTTGCCGTGACGCTAGTGGAATGGCAATCTTCATTAACAAGCCTTCTTTGATAGTGACCACGTCAGTCAGAAGCTGAGCTTCATAGTATGACAACATTTTGTCCATCGGAATGGCCAAAGAAAGTTGATCATGAGCGTGGCTTTGCTATTTGGAGACTTCTAGATTTTTTGTCACTTACTGCCATCAATACTGACCCCTTACGGGACCTTTTCTTGATCTCGTACTAAGAAATCTAACTTAGCATCGGCTTGATCTAAATAAACTATTTTTTATTTAGATCAAGCCGATGCTAAGTTGGATTCTTTAGTACGTCAAAAGATCCCTCCTATAGTTTTTTTGGCTACAAGCGTAGTTTACCTTTGCGTCTCTGGCAATCATTGCCTCTTTCTGACAAACTTTTCACAAGCTTTGTAAGGTTTTTCTGTTTTTTGTACCCATTATCGATTTGCCGTGTTATGAAATCACCAGCATCACAGCCCAGTTTACTAGCAATCTTGCGTTTTACTGGCAGACTCCTTTGTTCCAGTTGAACTTTCATTGGAATTCCAATCCCTATTGCGTATTTGTTCTTTAATTTTTGAAACCGAGATATATCATCGGGCCGACCAGCTTCAAAGCTATTCACCAGTGCAGGAAAATCCAAGGTCAAAACAGCATGCGCCGCCATTGATGACTGTACAATCAAGTTTCCCGGCTTGGTTAATAATACATACATGTGGTCATGGAAGTATGCCTGGCCCCTTTAATGAGATTCAAAAAGCAGGGTAAACACTTAGCGGTTTCAAAAAGGAATTTGGAGGCTGCGCCCGAATCAGCAACCAGGTATAAATTTCCACCGAAAAAAATGCATGACGCAGAGTCATCTGTAAACCAAGGCCCAGTTGCATAAATTGCGTCAGCCTTGGGGCACAGCCATTTCAGCCCCTGGGGGCACAGCCTTTTCAGGAGCATTCTCCAAAGAGAATGACCAAGCAGAGGATCTTCTAAAGACACCAGATAATAACTTTCTGTTCGTCATTTTGTTCCATTTGAGAGCCATTTGCAACTGACGCATATTCTTGCAACTCTCCAATTCCTTCAATATTTCGGTTGCGATGACGAACAACTCTTGGTTCGAAATCTCTACTGGTTTTTCAAACCAGCATCTTTTTTGTCCAGCAATTCAATCATCACCTCTTTTGCCTTTTCAGTGACCATGTTCCAAGATTTCATTCCTCTGCCATCCAGGTTTTTAAGGGCTTCCAACCCAACTCACGTATCTGTTCTCCCGAAATATGCCGAAAAAAATTGTATCGAACAACTGGGTCCAAACATTTTTGTCAATATTTGACATTGCTCTATAATATTGCACTCAACTATCTGCAAAAATAAAAGAAAAACATTCAATAAATCATGCAAAAGGAAACAGAAACACATGCAATAAGGCTTAGTTTTACTTGAGAGTAAAAAATGATGCAATAAACATGAATTTATCTTGCTGACGAAAATCACAAATACATCAATTCTGAAATGGCATCAAAAAGTAAATCAGCTGTTTTGTTATAATCAACCGAAAACCTCATTGAACAAAACAACAACTAAATTTACTTTTACCTATATCTTAATGTTCTAAACCTGATCTAGTTCAGGGTACGTCAAAATACTATCTTCCAAAACAAGAAGAGAACACGAAAAGG